AAGTGCCATGTCTCATTTCTTTGGCAACACATCTATGCGATCACAATGAGCGCGCACAGCCTTCGCCACAAAGTCACCCACCACGCCCCCCCCTCCACGACGCCGACTACACTGCCGCTTCACGCATATTCGTCATAACATGTTCATATAGTGAAGTCATGAAACTTAGACAGCTGTATCTTTATCACTGTACAACCAGTAGCTATAGCAAAGCCTATCATAGGTTTTACATCTGTATTACTAGTATCCTAGATATATGGTGTGCACGAGGTCGCATGAGGGTGCACTTCATTTTGTTGCAAGTGAGTTCATCACGGCAATAGCCGGCTTCAATCTACGTCAGTTCAGCGCTGTCGCTCTGCGACACTTCCTCATTCATGAAACGTTTCACTACGCACTTGCAAGCAATATTGCACGCTTCACTCACCATGCGCAGTAACTCTTATATTTCAACAGCTCATTTCACCAACATCTGCAGAATATTTAACTTTTTCCATGTCGTGTTCTGCTGTTCACAGGAACATCATCATGACAATGTAGAGGTTGATCCACATGCTGCGCTTGACATGAGTGACACACATGATATGTCACATGGGTGTCATGTGTCAACACAGCAACACCCACCAATAGCCAGCATCGATCGACCCCATAGACTGCCGACTGCAGCACACAACATTGATTTGCACGATAATGGAGTACAACCCGATCTACCTGTCATCAATGGTCTTCACACGTGTGCTGTGTGCCATCGGTCTCCAACACCAGAGCACACGTTCGTTTTTATACTCCTTCAGCCTGATTTAGCGATTCACAACCATTTAATTCATCGCCACTTTGGCGATCGTAGAGGTATGAGCATGGGTGAAGAGGTGTGTCCATTGTGCTGTCGGTATGTTTGCCCTCGTACAGTCCAGCAAGAAACCACACCGTCATGGGCATATGCTTGGCCCGCTGTTATATGGACATGTTTGAGTAAACCGCACTATGCGAATGCCGTGACATTTATGCAGTTTTTTGCGTATGGCATTCGTGCTAGCTGGACTCCTGTTCTGAATGACTGGTTGCCAGCAATGCGTGAAGCTATAACCATCAAACCACATTTTCTCGAAGTCACCACTGTTCTATCTATTTTTAACGAAGACATTGCCAGTGGTGAACTGTCACGTTTAATGCGTGCCCTGAATGACACATGTTTCATGGTCTTCCACAGGTTCGGTTTGCCCCCTTGGGCTGCCTACATTGTATCGTTGATGAAGTGGGTCACAATTTGCAGACTTCGTCCG